TCAAGACCTACAGAATATGACATTTAAAAAAGGGTGTTTCTTGACAGTGAGACATAAATGCTCCTGGCAACACCACCTGCATCAGAAAGGAAGATGGACATCAAAGAATCACATTATGAAGTTTACTTCCAATATGGCAAGATATTGGACAAGATACTGCTCTTGTCCGGGCTTTTTGACTTTATGCCGTATAAACTGGACATGCAGGACCCACAGGAAAGTAACTGCTGATACAAGATGGACATTGCTACAGAGTTCCTGCTTCATGAAAGAGTCTGCCAACGGTCTGCTGGACACAGAGAAAAGTGACTGACAAACTGCAAATACATGTGGACAGTTTAGTTTCCTCCTTTGCTGAGGAGTGTGCTAGACACACTATGGCCTATTGGCTGAAGATGGAACATTACAGAAGAACTTCGGGTGACTGACCAGATGAGTTGTCTCTGTCATTTCTAGAGTTTATATATTATCCTTCTGTAGTCTTTGATGGAGTTGAAAACAGATAGTTATAGTTATACTCTTCCTTAAATAAGAATAAAGATAAGTTACATAAAAGACTTTAGACTCACAAAGATAGGATAGATGATGGAATATTTTCTTAAATCTTGCTAAATGTTAATGGACTAAATATTGTTAACTGTGGTTCTTAATTTGGTAACTGTTGTGTGATATAATTTACTATGTTAAATATGTTTTTATTTTAGACAGAAAAGAGGAGATGATGGGAGATTTCATTCTGTAAATATGTTTCTCTCATTGGTTAATAAATAAATGTTTCTCTCATTGGTTAATAAATAAAGCAATGTTGGCCAATAGGAAAGGAAGATAGGAGGGACTAGGAGAAAGGAGGAAAGAGGAAGGATTAAGGAGGAGTCAACATGGAGAGACCAGAGAGAGCAGAACGCCAGCCCCTCTCCAGTAAGTTGAGACCACATGGAAATACTTAGATTAATAGAAATGGGTTAATATTTAAGACAGAGCTAGCCAATAAGAAACTAGTAACTGGCCAACAGAATAATATGAAATACAGAGTCTCTGTGTATTATTTGGGGCTGGTGTGGCAGTGGGTCCAGACCAGCAGGGAAAAACCTACTCTAACACCCACCTCAACCACTGATTTGGATGTGCGGTCTTATGTGCTTGCAGGAGACAAACTTAGAAGACTGCTGAACCCTGCCAAGTCAAGGTAAGACAGCCTTTCTTCCTCCCTGCTTTTGCTGTGGTCTGTCAGGTACTCTAGGCCTTAGCCAAAACTGGCTGTACCAACGTTGATGTCAGACCTTGGGTGACTGTCCAGGTAGCATGCTGTTTCTGTCCTTGATGCACCATTTGGAGATGCCCATCCGCACTTCCTGTCTACTATCCTGGTATTGTTATTTTGCTTCTCAGGTCTTTGATGAGGTTGAAGATTAAATTATCACAACTATTACTCTCTCTTCCTAGTTAGATATATTAGGTACTAGACTTAAGCTTTCCAGCTTAGGACAACTCTATTGTAAACCCCCATTCACCCTAGGACTAGATAGTTAGGTCTTAAGTTTGTATGGTCTCAATTTTCCTTTTCTTAGAGCACACTTGTTTTTCACTGTTTTGTATATAGTTTTTTTTTTTTTTTTTTTTTTTTTTTTAATCAAGGCTAAATCTTTTCTTTAGACTAAAAGGGGAATTTTAGTGAGATATTCACTTTGTCCGCACCTGTGGCATAGACCATGTCCATTGGGGTGGAGACAGGGGCAGATGTTACCTGGAGGAACTAAGTCTGAGGAGGGGGCTCTGAGAGCTCTCTTTCTTGCAGCATGGGGACAGAAGAACATCCGGAGGCATCCTTGGGACCAGGAACGTGCTGGTGTTCATCTGTGTATGTTGTAAGTTATTTCTCCCTGAATAAACATCTATTTGGCCTATTTGTTTCTCCTCATCCTTATTAAACATCAATATATATGAGTTAATTGCTGATAACTTAAGGTTTAAAATGGTTGTATTAATGTCTGTTTGAATACTGTTTCTAGATTGCCTTACTATTGTTCACTTAAGCCTTTATCTGATTTCCATCTTTATTTGTAATACTTTGAATATGTTATTTTGTACATTTTTCTTAGTGGGTTTTCTCGAACTTGCTACATACAAATGTAATTTTCAGTGCGCCACATTAACAATGTTAACAATTTCACATGACATACAGAAAACTTATTTCTATTTAGGTAACGTTATATTTCTATGTTTTAAATACAAATGTAATTTAGATAACTTTATATTTTGATTTTTTAAATACAAATGTGCTAAATATTTATTCTACTTACAAGGAATATCAAGCCATATAATCTTAAATTTGTTTGGGCCTTCATATGAGGCTTTAAAAGTTCTATGAGTCTACTTTACCCCTGACTTGACAGTGTTTTACTTCTTCAAGTTTTAAGCCTTGTGTTGTTATTTACTTTCTTTCTGGGGAATGTAGATAGCTGCAATTTTTTCAAGGTAAGCCACACAGCGACAGAATTTTAGTTTTTTTACGTAAGCATCTTTATATTCCCTATCCATTACGGCAGCATATCTAAACAGAGAATTTGTGATTAAAAGCTCTTCTTTGCAGTACCTAAAACTATGCCACTTCCTTCTATTCTATAATTTTTTCCTGGACTGTGGGGACATTTGTTCCATATCTGTACATACCATTTCTTTACAAATTTTTAAACCAGTATTATGAATTTCTGAATATGAACAAAGAGAAAATATAATAAATTATGACGATAACCGGACACTGACAGTACACTTTCCTGTTGTAACCCAAAAGGCTTGCCTGGTGAAAGTGGGCTTCACTGTTGATACTAAATAGGGGCAGATGACAAGACCAAGAATGCAGAAAGAAAATGGTTAACTGACACTGTGCAGTGTCACCAATCTTGTTGATATGGCAAAGGAGTGACAACTTGGCCAAACTAGGCCTCACTGACATTCAAAAGAAAAGGTAAGACAATGATGACTAGCTCCACGTTCCACTGTCCTGTTAGTCATAGTGTTCCTAGATAGGTGTCTTAGAAAGGATGGCTGTGGGAAGAAATGGAGGGGTGGAGATGGAAGACCAGATCTCTCCTTGGCTCTGTTAAACTGAAGGTTAACTGATTGACCTAAAAAGAAGACTTTGGATGACTGAAGTCACTTCATTTTTGATGATTTTAGAAGTGTTTTCAGTAACAATACTTTTGAAAACTGATAAATTTATTGTAATATTATCTGGAGCAAATAATTCATAAGCAATATATGAACTAAATAATAGTTCTTCATGTTTAAACATTAAGAATATAATATGCCTGACAAAACTGAGTTAGGTTTCATTAATTGACATCATTTTAAGACTAAAAATATACAATAAAACATGTATATTTATACACAGTACATTATACATAGGACATCAAGCTTAAGCTACATCATATACTTTTGACAATTTCAGATTACTTGACTCTACCTGGTGGATTGATGTATGCCCTTAATCCTAGCACCAAGGAGGCAGAGGCAGGTGGACTCTGAATTCAAGGCTAGCCCTGGCATGCAGAGAAAGTTTTAGAACAGTCAGGGGTATTACACAGAAAAAGCATTTATCTAAAAACAAAACAAAACAACAACAAAAAGTTTTAAAAGTTTTTACACCAACACATTTGAAAACATTTCTGTGCCTCAATGCTCAAACTCCATTCAGTTACATGTCATATGCTTCAAGGAATATCCTGATAAAACTCATGATTCTAAAATCAGACAAAATGAAATAAAACCTCACTAATAAATAAATAAATAAATAAATAAATAAATAAACAAACCCCTTACAAGAAGAGTCAACTTTTCTGTAACTTAGTTAAATATAAATCTATTGCTTCTAGTGAATATCTGCTCTAGGATATGTCTTTAGCCCACTTAATGTTATTGCCTAATAGAACTATTCAAGTTGATTCTATTTACTAGCAAAGTCTCAACTAATGGCTATGAGATTACAAAACCTAATGTCAATCATAGGATTCTTCTTTTTGCGTGATTTTAGGCTGACTTTCTAATGAATCCTGACACCCTTGAAATTCTTTTTTTCTTTTGGTATTTTGAGACAGTGTTTTTCTATGTTACAGTCTGGGCTGTCAAAATTTGAAGATCAGGATGACCTAGAACACACATAGATTCTCCTGCTTCTGCCTCCCAGGTGCTGGGAGTAATACAACCATCACACACTGCTAAATTTTTCTGTTTTTCACCCCTTGAGATGGTGAGATCTCATTATATAATCCAGTTGGCTTAGAACTTGATGTATATACCAGGCTGGCCCCAAACTTGGGATGATCCTCTTGACTTTAATTGCTAATTGCTTGGATTACAGGCTTGCCTCAATCACTGTATCAGTTTTATGTGGTGGAACAGAATGGATCTAGGGCTTTGTGCGAGCTAGGCAAGTTTCTCTCCATAATGAATATCATCCAAACCTTCGTTTTCCTTTTTTAATGCTAGGACAAAGGTAAAGCATTATTTCCTTAAGAGATCTTACAATAAAAGAGGCACATACTGAAACCAAGTTTCTCACATAATAATGAGTTTAAATGATTTAAAATAAATAAAGAATTCATTATAAATTTTTCAGCTTACTGAATTAGATACTGAAAACTTCAATCAAATGAAGTATTGTAATTTGAGATTTTTATATATTAGCCACAAGACTGGTGATATTAAAAAGATAAATTGTTATATATATATTAAAGTTTAAAAACAATACTGTCTTATATTTCCAATAAATCACATAGTGTTTTTATATTTTTCCTTAAATTTTTTCACAGAATTGTTTGAAAACAGTAGATAAAATGTGATAGTGATTCTATAATTATGCATGTATTTTTAACTTAAATAACTAGAAGTTTAATCATGTCTTAACAAACCAAAAGATTCAATTACATTTAAGAAGTAAAAATTTCCCCTTAGTTTCTAAATAAAATAAAAACCTCAGCAGACATGAAAATTTCATACTATACCTTGATTTCTTCTATTTCATCTGGAACTATCTTGTATGCTGATATAGTCCCACCCAACCTGAAATTAGGAGAAGAAAATATTCTTAAAACCAGCAACAGTGTAAAAGTGTATGAATTATATATTCCATTAGCATTAGAGAGCTAACAGAAATCTCCCAAGACCTCCCTCGATACCCACGGGGAAAACTTTTTGCTTCATTTTTTCCCACTTATTAGTTTAGAAGAGACAGACAATGACTATCCAAAGAAAAAATAATACATTGGACTTTTATTCTGAAATAAACTTCCATTATTGATGGTTTTAATAATACTGAAGCTGCCACGTTTATTGCTGAATTATGTCACAACATATATCAAGAACAAAGAGCAAACCTGTTTTTACTTGTTTAATTAATGAACTTAATTTCTTGGAATAGTTTAAGGTTTCTGAAAACTGAACACAAAATGAAGTTAACATATCTGGCCCTAAGACCATTTCCTAGTATCTTAATAATTATCATCTTATATTTGTGTGGTGCAATTGTCACAATTAATGAACCAATACTGATTTTGCTTAATTTTTGTTAAAAACAGAGTTTGAGAGATGAATGTGTCCAGCACTATGAAAGAGAAAATAAATTGTGAGTTATAAACAGTTTGAGTCCTAATATTTAATTTTTTAATTGAAAGTTTTACTTTATAAAACTTTTTTACAGTTTTTCTGTTTAACAATTCTTTATAATTAACATATGCAACGATTGTTACATAAATGGGACAGAGTACAGAAACAGTTCCAATTTATTATAAAAAACATTCAAAGATGCTATACTGAAAATGGTTGATTAAGGTAGAAAAATACAAAGCTTCATTGCTATGATGAATCTGAATCCTATTTACAAAAACAATTCATTTTTCTCATGATTACTGTTAAAAAAAAAAAAAAAGCAAGCAACTTAGATACCTTAATCTGGTCCTAGAAAGTTATCTTTAAACCAAGAGGAATGGTTTTGACCATTAAGAAGGTAAGGCAAACCAGATATGACATGGCTGTTATAGTTTATTCTACAGACTAAGCTCCAGGACAGTCAAGGACGTTACACAGAGAAACTGTATTTCAAAAAAAAAAAAAAAAAACCAAATTAATAATAATAATAATAATAATAGCAATTCAGACGCAATTCAGAAAACCCAAAAGGAAACAGTGAGTGATAAGCAACTCTTTCTGGGGAAAAAATAGTCAAAACTTTTAATTATGTTAGTTAGGTTTCATAGATATAAAGAGATATATTTGAGATGAATAGATAGTCCTCAAACCTTTCAAAGACCTACAGAATATGGCATTTAAAATGGTTTGGGTTTTTCATGACAGTGAGACATAACTGCTCCTGGCACATTAATTACTTCAGAAAAGAATATGGGCATTGAAGTAATTTGTTATGGAGCTTGCCATTTGCACTAGAAACTGCTCTTGCCTGGACTGTCCAAAGTGGACATACAAGACCCACAGGTAAGTGATTGCTGAATTTGGCAAAACAAGATGGGACAGTCCTTCAGGATTTCTAGTTAATGGAAGTGTCTACCAGACATTCTACAGGACACAGAGAAAAATGACTGACAAACTGACAATACAGGCAGGACAGTCTCAAATTCCCCACTTCACTGAAAAGTCTACCAGACACTCTATAGCCTATGGCCTGAAGACTGATGCTCCAACGTTACAGAGGAACTTTGGGTGACTGTCCAGGCAGTGAGATGTCTCTGTCAATGTAAGAGTTTATATATTATCCTTCTGAGGTCTTTGATGCAGTTGAAGAGGCATAGTTATGGTTATGGTTATCCTTAGTTATGATAAAAGATAAGTTACATAAAAAACTGTAAACTCACAAAAATAGATGACAGAAAATTTTCTTAAATTTTGCCAAATGTTAGCAGACTAAATATTAACTATAGTTCTTATTTGATAACTGTTTTGTTATACATAATTTTACTATATTAAAGTTAAAGCCCTTTTCATTTAGACAGAAAAGAGGAGATGATGGGAGATGCTATTCTGTATGTATGTTTCTCTTATTGGTTGATGAATAAAACGAGGATTGGGCAAAAGCAAGGCAGAAAGCATAGGCAGGGTTATACCACAGGAGAAGGCTGGGGAGAAGAAGGCATAGATAGGCTGAAAGGGAGAGATGACATTATGCCCAAGGAGTAACATACAGGATTACAGGTAAGCCACAGCCTTGTGGCAATACACAGATAAGTAAGACAGAACTAGCCAGTAAGAAGCCCTCGCCATAGGCCAACACTTTAATAATTAATATGTCTTTGTGTGCTTATTTGGAACTGAAGGGTGGTGGGACCTGACAGGGAAAAAACTTCCATCTAACTGATGAAGAAAGAATAAACTCTAGAATGAATATAAAAAAAGCTTATAGAGTGTCAGTCACTCGGATAATAATAGCTTTAATACTACATGCAGTACAGAAGTCTCCATTATACAAGTATTCAGATCTCCTATTTTTGGATTTTGTAATATATACATATATACATATACATATATACATATACATATAATAAAGTCATTGATGTTAAAAGAATATTTATTTATTTATGGGTGTGTGTGTGTCACCATGGACCAAAGTACACATAGAGGTCAAAGGACAGCATGCCAATGACAGTTCTATCCTATTAGTATGTGGGTTCCAAGGTGAAACTTGGATTGTCAGAGATGGTGGCAAATGCCTTTACTAGCTGAGTTATCTCACTGGCCCTGTGTTTTATACACAGCCTTTGGGTAATTTTTAAACATATCTTTAGGGTGCCTGCAAGAAGTCATGTTGAATTTTCACTTAAGGCATCATGTTTATGTTCAAAATGCTTTAGTTTTATAGCATATCAATCAGGTTTCAAGATTTCAAATAGAGATGCTCAACTTGTATTCATTTTTTTAAGTTGGTAAATGTGCATGCTTATTATACACTCACACACAGAGAAGGGATGCTATTTAGCTCTAAAAAGAGTATATTTTAAAAATTACAGGAAAATGGATGGATGTCATATCTATCTATCTATCTGCCTGCCTGTCTGTCTGTCTGTCTGTCTATCCATCCATCTACCTATCTATCCTTCTAAAATATATCTCTATATGATCTTAAAAACATGCCTAACATCTAAAAATCTGATTGTTAGATAACTAACTACTAAGCTATGTTTCCTGATTATCCTAAATAGTTTATAATAATAAGCTTTCAAAAACTAGCATTTTACCTTATATATTCAAATGAACTGTATACGTACACTACCTCAAACAAAAGTAGAAACCATATAGTATGTGGTAACAAAAATTACCTTAGATTTATATCAATATACAAATCATTTAAACAAGAGTAGAAACATATATACAGTGTAACAAAAATAACTTTAAATTTGTGTCAATATACTATAATCCCCTAAATGATAACAAATATCAATGACCCACCAAATAACCAAAGATCATCCACAGCCCTGAAATCTTGGGAAGGTGGACCTTGTTTTCTCTATCATACTTTCTGCTGTCTGTGGATGAAGTGTCTGTACGGTCCCAGAGAGAAAATTTGAGACAATGACCAAGTCCTGGGAAGAGACCCACTATAATCTTTGTTCACAGATAGCACCTGTCAAGATTCAGGTGTTCCTGCCTGATCAAACCTGATCCATATTAACCCTGAAGGAATCCACAGCCTCTCATCTTCTGTGGGAACATAACTCCAAAGCATTTAAAAAAAAATTTCCATTTGAAAAATACATTCTGACATCTTTTTTAAAGTTAAGATTGGCTCAGTTTTATAGTCAAGTTCACAGCTATTGTTAGTTTCTCAACAATCAAAAAATTCAAAATCAAAACAATAACATACAGGATCCAGTCTCTCTGTGTATTTCCCATCTTACATGGCCTTTTTCTTTTATATTATTTAACTTCTATTAAAGAGAGAAAGACTTTATGTTTTTAACATCTTTCTGTGACTGTCTACACCCATTTTCTTTTCTTCCTTAAGCCTACATCATTGTTAAACACACTGGAACCTATTTAGATGTTTCTCCATCTGCACCTCCTTTATTGAGTATCTTTTAGCCTCGTTGATAGAATGAGCAAACTTTAAACTGCTTAGCAGTGTGTCGTCAGCTTTGGTGGCTGTACCTATCCACTTCTTGATCTGTGAAAGCAAAGCCTGAAGCACACAGTCAGGTTGGGAGTTTGTGATGAAAAACTGTATTTAACCTCCCTAGAGTACTGAAATGATGCTGCTTGCAGTATGGCAGGCATTTTTCTGTAGATTTTTGTTCCTACTTTATATATTGGCTGCTTAAATGCTCCCCAGCAGGCAGAAATTCTTCAAGGAGCCTTATCCCTTTTTTCAAGCTTTCTCAGGTCCTGTGTAAATTTGAGGCCCACGCTAGTATGTCAAAACATTCTTGATTATTTTATTCTTTGTGGGTGCTACCACCCAGCTCCCTAATACATACACGGAGTCTTATTATTTTCTTAATTATAAATGCTAGGCCCTATCTAGGCCTGTTTCCTGCCAGCTTTCCTTAACTAATCCCTCCTTTTTGGTTTTTTTTTTTTTTTTAACAAATATTTAACTGCAGCATATAAAAAAATGGGCTTCATTATGAAATTGTCATATATATGTATGTATATACATATGTATGCTTCTTTGTTATATATTAAATTTATTATAATTAGGTGACCCACTGCATATTGGGCCCCCATTCCCTGGGTTCACATCCTATTTATAAAGAGCACCCCTTCTATTTTCATGCCACATTGCCTTATATCTAGATTCTCTGCGCAGAAAACATACTTGTCTTTTTAAATCTAGCTTGTTTCTTCAAACACAATCTTCAATTTCAGCCACTTTTTTCAAATGATATAACTCTGTTGTTCTTTATGGATGAATACTACTCCATTACTTCCAAATTTTCTTTTCTGGAAAAATTAAGCATTTTCTGTTCATTTATCTAGTGAGTGTTATCCACACAGGTTCCATGACTTAATTACTGTGAAATATTGCAGTAACACATGTGTTATGTCCATCACATCTT